ATGGTGAAAACCTCTGTATCAATGCTTTTTCTACCGTCCCAAAGTTCTCTGTCAATTAAATAAAATAGAGTGTAAATGGACTTCTCTCTAGAATTATGTAGGTATGCCAACCGAAAGATTTCAGCCATGAGTTCAATTTCGGTGCATTCCCGCCACATCTAGTCTTACAACATCTAATATGATCTTCCTAATGGTGCAACCAATATAAAATTTCCTGCACACGGGGCTGATGATTGCATACACACCGGAACGGTTAACATCAATATGTGAACGTGAATATATGTGCACACAGTAAGGCACCGTACGCAGAGCAAGCGCCTAAAAATTCCAAAAAAAACAAATAAACGAAAAGGTGTGCATCCATCCGTCAGACGATCGTACGGGTCCAGAAACTGACCAGTACCGTGCCCATATTCCCACTACCTGGTGCCGTCCGATCCTACCCGCCAAGTGATCTGTTAGAACCCAGTTCCAGATCCCTGGTCCTGGTGCCCAAAACAAAAAAAGGTTTTTTTATTTTATTTTTATTTTTTGGAAAGCAGGGTACAAAACCATCCGGAGCAGCTAAGCCCTACTGCACAATTTACCCCATACAGCCCGTGCCCTTCCAATTCGGTGAGCCAAAAAATTCGGTGACTGAGCACACCCTCGTGCTACCTGATCTACCACTCTCAACTACACCACACAGTGGCACACACAGAACAATCCAATGTGTAACAGCACATACACATACACATACACATACACATAAGGCGTCGCTGCACTACTCTTGAAATGCACAAAAGACAAAAATCATGGCCGTGTATCTTTCCATATTATAGCGGAAGATTCACTCTCGTTTTGCACATTTCGAGAGTAGTGCAGCGAGGCCCATACACAGACACAGACAGACACAGACAAAAAAAACACAGACACAGACACAGACCGACACAGACAAAATAGACACAACAGCACAATGCAGCAAGCAGATAGATAGTAATAGACAGTGAACAGGTCACAGCAACAATTTTATCCAAAAAATAAATAAATAAATAATAATAATAATAATAATAATAATTGATAACTCGTTGAATGCTCCATCAAAAACAGGACTGACAGAGGGCTGGGCCGCTGTTTGCCCAGCCGCCTCATGTATACTGACATTTCATGCTCGCACTACTATTATTGTTTACATTGTACTCTACAGGGACGCTGGACCCGAATTCCAGCAGGTGCTGCTCCCCACCAATAGATGGAGCCTCCCCGA